TATAGGTGTGGCCAGTACACAACTGAGAACCCTTCAGAAGTGAACCCTAATGACTTCACAACCTGAACTAACAAACTCAGCAAAATTTTAAAGGGCACACAATATTGTGAGAGTCTGGTTAAGTAAGTTGGTCGGCCCAGAAGCCTTAGAATTGGCGACTAAATGCTACACATAGTCACACCAAAAACTCCAATTGCATAATCATTAATGCGTATGAACCGGTGTTCTTCAAATTGCATTAAAAGTACAGGAAAATATACATTCAAATTTCTTTTAATTACGTTTTATCAATATGTTCCCAAGCTTTCAAGAACCACACTATGAACATCTTGGAACAAATGTCACTAGAGAGAATAAAAACACCTTCTGCTCTTCTAATCAGTATGCAAAATGTTACTCAGGAAAACATCCTAGGGAGGATGTTTATTTTGACGTAGGATTGGGAGGTGACTGCCAAATGAAAGTATACACAGACACAAGTGGCAATAAGGATGTGTTTGTTGGGATTCACAATTTAGGTGATTAGGGAATTTAGAGAAATAATTTAAAAAAAAAAATAAATTAAAATAAAAAATAAAAAAAACACACACACACACACACACACACAATTTTATGCGGAATACAAAATACTACACCTGAAACTTGGCTGCTAAATATCTAGTCATTTATTTCTGTTACAAGGCTTTTTTAAATAAAGGAGTTGGCCAGCAAATTTAGTTTGTAATATTCTGACCCATGCCATTAACTAATAGCAATGTATACTAGCAAGAGCAGTCTAATAAATAAACTACTTAAAAGGGCACTTAAATATGAAAAAATAAAACAATGTTATTCACTGAAAGGAACACACATATATTCTTGACACTATAGTGTAAAACTAACTATTTAGGTGAACGGTCCCCCTCCAATGGTGTTTTTACTTACCTATTTTCTCCCACGTTGCATCGGTCTTGCCATTGCTGTCTCCACACATGATGATTTAAACCAAACCAATTCTTTTCCATAAGAAAGTTTAGGGAGGCTATTGTGCATGCGCAGCAAAACACCACACTGTGCCTATCAGCCTCTCCTCATAGAGATGTATTGAATCAATGCATCTCTATGGGGAGCGTTCTGCATCTCTATGCAGAGAATGGAGACAATAAACATAGGTGCTGCACACTGTGTAACACTGGACTAGGAAGCACCTATAGTGGCCGCCTGAGTGACTGCCACTAGAGGTGTAACTAGCCAGCAATATAAACACTGCATTTTCTCTGAAAAGAAAGTATTTACATTTAAAGGCCTGCAGGTACTGTCTATAGACTCCCAAACCACTACAAGTGTAGTGGGTCTGGTGACTAACATGTCACTTTAAGTGAAAATTGTCATGAATTCACAGGGAAATTCAAATTTAAAGGAACCATATAGCATTCATAACACAAACATGTATTCCTAACACTATAATGAATTATTTTCTAAAGTGAGAATTCAAAATTAATTTCAAATTTAAGGCCAGAGTAGCTGAACTGAAAGCATAGCTGACTTTTTCCAATTCAGCTAGTGTGACCTAAAATTCGACCTTTAGTAAATAACACTGATAGACTAGAGTCCCTATTTATAATCAGTGAGAATAACTTTGTGCTGCTGTCCGCTACTCCCCCCTCCCACTGACAACATTCAGCAGCCGGCTTTGTTTCACTGCCTTCTTGTCCAATCTAGTTCTTTCTTACAGAGAAGTATTGGTTTGGACAAGACGCGAAGTACACAAGGCACAAGAAATCCATGTATGCCGAAGTTGACATCCAGCGTCAGTTAGGCGACCATGACCTGGAAGTCCCTCTAGTGACGGTCTGGTAGACAGCCACTAGAGGTGGAGATAACCCTCAAAAGGTAATTATTGTAGTTTAATAAAAACTGCAATAATTATCTTTGCAGGGTTAAAGGACCTGGGACACTTCACTTAGACCACTTCAATGGGCTGAAGTGGTCAGGATGCCTATAGTGTCCCTTTAACTCTGCAATGAAAATATTGCCATTTCAACAAACCAACAATATTTTTTGGCAGGGTTAAAACGACAAAGGAGCAATGCATTGGGATAAAGTGATCTGGTTGCCTTTAGAGTCCCTTTAAGGCCAAAATATTTGGACTGAAAAAAAAAGAAAAAAAAAAAGAGAATAGACTTGGAGAATTATTTCTATTTCGCCTATTTTGGGCTAAAAATTTCGACGTAGTTCAATACTTTTATATGCAAAGCATCAGAATAACTAAGAACAGCGATTGGTACGCATTGACGATCAAAATAAAATAATAAATGCAACTATGTTTTGAAAGAAATTGTATTTGTGAAACAGGGGATTATTTACTGAACAAGGATTCAGAAGCAAAATTTGGATTTGAAAAAGCAGCTATTGTGCCATCTTAAAGGAACACGTCACCATTTGTAATAATTGCATTTATTTATAATGCTGGAGTTGTAAAGTGTATTTAGATTACTGGTCTCTAATTCAGCAGCAGTAAGGCCTCCTTGTTGCATCTTTGCTTTGTATCTGGAAGATCCTCACTACTAATGATCATCTGACCAATCCAATGATTCTCATAGAGAAACACTTGGAGGCAGGGTGCATGCGCAGCAATATACGCAATCCGCAGGCAATGCTTCTCTATGGGAAACCACACATCTGCTTTGAGCAAGTGCTCAGAGTGTATAAGGAAAAGCCCCCTTCCATTGTGATTGAGACTTTGGAGGGTGCAAACCAGTAACTTTATAAAAGTGCTGATTTATCTTCAAAATATCACTTTTATAAAGAGAGAGGGTGTTCTAATGTTTCTCTGGAGTTTCTTTAATGCTCTTCGGGCAGCAGAATTCTGCTAAATTCAAAAGAAATACTGCTAAAAATTGGGGTACTTATTGAAAGCAGTGGATCTCATACAGAACTACTCAAACTACCCCCCCTTCCCAGCTGTTTCAAGGTCACCTTGAAAAGGTTAAAAAAGTACACAGATCCAGAAAGAGCCTAGGACTATTAATGAGGTCTTGGATTTCAAGCAGGATATCGAACACCAAACAACCAGAGAGACAGAAATTCAAATAGCTGCATCTCTAAAACCCCTTGAGCTACACTGGTTACAAGGCCTCAAAATAGCCCCAGGCGTGTGGCAAAGCAAATAAGCCTGAAGACAAAAACTGTTACAAACTTTAGAATGTATTGCTAGACAACACAGGTATAGTAATACTGGTCTGGGGCAGTAGTATTTTCTCACGCCAAGCCCATCAGCAACTACAGGCGCACACTTATCTTGTCTGGGCAGAACCTCCCACGAAACAAACACACAAGGGCAGAACAAAACTCTTTGTGTAAAGGAAAAAGGATTGTCTGAACGTGGCACAGAAGCAAAATCAACATAGTTGGGAACAAAAGCAGCCCCACCCAGGGAAGAGGGTGTGAAGAAAAAATGTCAGACACTCCAATGCTCAGACCCCCACTGGCTGCTAATCATTATTATCAAAACTCAGAAAAACCTGTAATGTGCTTTGTACATTCCATTTCAATGTCATTAGTAAACTCTCTGTTCTTATAAGAGTACACGCTGCCTGTGATACCTTATACAGAGTGTGCACGAGGCTATACACACCTAGGCAAAAAAAAAAAGGATAAAACAGGTAGAAACACAACTCCCATGATGCTTTGCTTGACTTGGCTTCATGGCATAAGCAGGAACCACACAGCTAGACAGATAACTAAGAGGGAAGTGTGGTATTACACATGGGTGAAAAGGATCATTGCTTCCATCCCAAAGAAACTCATCTCATGTTGGTGTTAAATGGAGGAATGTTTACCCTTAACCCCTTAATGTAATATAATGGTATTTTCTTAATCCCTTGTCGTAATTGATGTCAGTACAATGGGAGACACATTTTTGGTACTTAAAACTGTAATCCCTTAGTTGACACTGTAATAAAAGTAAGTCTGTCAGGGCTATTTACTTAGGTGTAAATTGACAGGAATTCAAAATTAATAAAAAACAAAACAAAAAAAACAAAAAATTAGGCCATCATAGCCGATTTGGATATAGATAGATATATATCTATATATTTATTTTTCCATTCAGCTAGTTTACCCTAGATAATTTAAAATTAAATTTTAATTCCTGGCAATTCACAGTTTTGTGATTTTTTTTTCCCCTTTATATGTTGATTTTGCATCATTAGAAACCATTAACCTCCCATGTGTAAATTGTGAAAAACTTTGACAGTCCATTTGGTTTCTAGTTGTGTTACTGCAGAGAGAACACAGACCATCCCAATATGACAGGCCACAGAAATATGAACCTCTGCTTCAAGGAATTCCTCAGCTGAAACAAGATACAGAGCAACTACTACTATTTCTCATTTTCCCCTTACTGCTTCTATTAATGGGAAGCATACTACATTTTTTCCCCTTCAAACAACCCACAGTGAACAGCACCGACTTAGGTAATTATTCACTAAACACTTAAACTGTAGCGTAATGTAACTGCAAAAACAAAGTGCAAAATTTAGACTAAAATATTAGAACTGCAAAAAACTTTTCTCTGCCTAAATTTTTCAATTCAGTTTACCCCCTGGAATCGTTTTCTAAAAGTTTAACATTGAAGTGTAAAACTAAACCAAAAATACAATAACCATTACTGCTGAGTCCACTGGTTTCCATGGTGACTACCTCACTTCTAGAACTTCTGCACCCAATTTCTGATCACACTTTTATTACACCTCCCCACCCCCCACCGAAAACTTTTCTTTCCCTTCCAGGCATATAGCAAATACAAACCAAGCATAATAATGAAGAGGTGTTGGGGAATTGTTAACTCTTTCGTTGCCAGGAACAGCAAAAATAACAGTACCCCCGCAGCAGCAGCAGCATTCAAAGGGTTAAACGAGTTAAATGACAGCTTATCTGCCCCTGTTTACATTTCCAATGATCAGCATTTAGAAGCAGCATTAATTACACAGCGTTGCATGGAGACAAGCACAGAGGCAGCCAGTAGTCATTCACTCACCCTGGAAATGGAAAGGGGCATGTTAAAATCCTTGCCCCCCTGCAGTCTGAAGCCCCAAGGAGCAGGTCCATCCAGAGTTACTTTGTAATCCTCCATGTCACAAAACTGCAGATTAAAAAAAAAAAAAAAATTATAATAAAGCAGGTTAGAACATAGATAAGACACCTCCACAATATAGTTAGTTACCCACAAAAAAAGTTTCTATAGGGGCTCCCTCTGTTCATGAGGGGGAGGAGGGGGTGTTAAAGGGGTATCACTGTTGGATTAAAGGTCTCTTAAAAACTGGTCTATAGCTTTTGAAACCCAGATCTTGTCATATAGAGCATTAGAGAAAACACAGGGATTCTGCTCAGATTAATCACCCGCCCCTCCCTTCCTAAGTATCTACAGTAAGGAGAGGGCACAAGGTCACCCACTATCACTAGCTGCTCCTAGGGGAGATCCATGCACCCCAGCTTGCTCCCCCACAGTCTCACCCAAGGCAGCAGGCGGAAGGAGTACAGGCTCCCAGTCCTGCCAGCTCTCCCCGGCTCCCAGGCTATATAAGGAGTGTAAGATGACACCCGGGCCGGGGGATACAGGGAAATGAATCATGCTTTGGGTTGGGAGGGACCAGGGCTCTCAGCTCAGACATTCCCAGCTCCTAACAAGGGGGAGAGCATTCTTCAGACGGACACAGTGAGGTCCCAGCCGCAGGAACCGGCTGCACAGCCAATGGGAGCATGGCAGGGGCCAGTCATGGGACTGGGCAGTAAAAGGGGAGGAGGGGGTTCAGCTGCTGCATCTCTGATATGGGCCATGGGGAGCAGATCTTTTATCAAGCTCCAATACCTCCTGGGCTGAAGAGCTGGTACCTTGTCTGGCAACAGCATCCATAGTCAGAACTTACTGTCAATCTAAAATTGTAGTTCTTGTGCAATATTTGGTTTAGTCTGTAATTAATTTAAAAAATTTATAATAATAATTTGAGTTACACCTTGGAGTTTATTCACTAAATCACGAATTGAAGCGAGTTGAAATCCAAATTACTAGATTCAGGCTGAAATAGCGGTTTTGTAAACCTTAGAGTCACAGCTTGACTGTGTGTACCTCCATTTTGCCATACAGATTTCACATACAGTTCACTACAAATTGGAGTTTAATGAATACACCCCATTTTGTCACGTATCCCCTATGATCAGGGCCAAAAAGAGAGATTCATAGCTGTACATCTACAACTCCAATGATGCTTTGCAAGCCTTAAAGGGGCACTCCAGGCACCAAAACAGGTTCATCTAAGTGCCTGCCTGACGGCACTCTGTGCTTCCTGAAACTGACATTTCAGAAGCCGGGTGCCACCTTGGGGTAAATGAGATTAACGTTGGAGGCTCACTTTGAATTTAAACTGTTTAACACCATGAGGTAAGAATGCGCTCTTACCATAATAACTTAATTTACATGAAGTTGTTATGGTGCCTAAACTGTCCCTTTAAGAACGGAAACGCATCATGTAAAAGCTCTTGAAGAGTTGGGAAGTTTACCCTTTGCCCACCCACACTTTAGACTGTAAGCTTCATCGAGCAGGGTAGTCTGTAACATTTATTCTAGTGTGCGTAAAGGTAAGTCCCCAAGTACCTACTTGTTGTGTCAGTCTGTTGTGGGCGGCGCACAATGTTTTGGTGTTTTGTAAATGAATGGAAAAAAATTCAGAAAACGTGGGGGTAGGATGGATGGATGGAAAGATGGGGATGCCTTTGTGTGATGTAATCATGTTTTGTTTTTGTGTTTGCCAATAATTATGTCTGTTTGACTTTCATCCAAATGCTCAAAAAGATTGATATTACATATCCTGTCATGGGAATAGGGATGGACCGCTGCCAGGAACACAGAATATATTTTATTTGAATGAAGAGTCTCACAATTTTCTTTGGAAATTACAACACAGTTTCATTACCGCACACTGAAAAAATGTGGAAGGGTGAATGACGTGCACACAGGTGTAAGCAAGTTCCTGTGGGCTATAAATATATCTTTAATGAAACACTGAAGCACCATAACCACTACAATACACTGTTGTGTTTATACTGGCTGGAGTGACCTGGTGCCCCCAATATAAGCAGTCTAACACTTTGACTTTTTACCTGGGGACTTCCGGGCACCACTTTAGGACTTTTTGGAGCTGAAAGGTCGGTCTGGCAGGGACCAGCACCTGTCAGACCCCAGTTAAGAGCAAACGATGTGACTACTTAAATTGGTAGGTTACTTCTGCCACCATAACCACTACAACATAACAGTTTTCTATTTGTTTAGCAGACGCCAGCTTCCGATTTAAATGTGCACAATTAAGACTAAAGTCCAAAGTACAATTCAGAGTCCAGTTCAGAGATTATTCTACGAGGTTGCATTTTAGGGGCATATTTGGAGCAAAATGTCAGTCTAAGAGTCAACCAAGGGACAGACTTTTTTTAAAGGAAATTCTGTCTACACTAAAACAAATTGATTTTCTGGGTTTGTGTATCAATTAGATTGTGTATTGCTAGGCGCTGACCCTTCTCTAAATTATAGGTAACATTTGGCGTATTGTATCTAGGGAAAACGTACTGCACCCCTGCACAAATATATTTATCAGTGAGCATTATATGTTCAAAGTCACGTGCACATTTTATCAAATTGGGTGTAGAGAGTAGCAAAGTAAAAAAAACACTTGGGGGGCCGAATTAGTCTGCCTATAGCCTTACAGAGCTGTGTGAGAGTCTCTGTAGTGAGCATAAATACTAGTAAAACTAAATGAGAGACTCAGCATAAAGGTGTCTTCAAATGACTCTGGGCTACTAGACAGACAAGGACACGGGATACAATGTTTTCAGTCCTCCCATGGATTTCTGGTTATTTCTTGTGAGAGATGCCAGGACAAGCGCTTACTGGCAGAGTATGATGGTTGGGCCCTGCTCTTACTCTTAAGGTCTAGACCAGGGGTAAGCACTCCAGGGGTTGTGGACTACATCTCTCATAATGCTTTACCAGCATTCATAGGCGTGCGCACGGGGTGTGCCGGGTGTGCCTGGGCACACCCTAATCCCGCGGCACGCCTATGTATAGTGAGACCGGCAGGGGAGATCTCAGGATCTCCCCTGTCGGCTCATGCAGAGCCGGCGCTATCTGAGCGCCGGCTCTGCTCTCAGCCTCCCTCCCCACTGACCAACATGCAGGGAGGGAGGCAGGAGAGGACCCGGCAGAGCTATTGCCGGCAGCTCCGCCGAGTTCCTCTCGCGAGATATGAGCGTTGTCACGGCAACGCTCAAATCTCGCGAGAGTGAACTCTAGCCCCACAGGGGGCTAGAGTTCACTCTCCACTGGACCACCAGGGAAAGCAGCAGCACAATCCCCCCTCCCTACAAAAGGTAAGAAGGGAGGGGGGATAGCAATTAATGTACCCCCACCTCCACCCCCACAATCACCCACACACACATACAGCACACACATACAGCACACACACATACAACACCCACACACACATACAGCACACACACATACAACACCCACAGACATACAGCACCCACAGACATACACAGCACCCACACACATTCAGCACCCACAGACATACACAGCACCCACACATTCAGCACCCACAGACATACACAGCACCCACAGACATACAGCACCCACAGACATACACAGCACCCACAGACATACAGTACCCACAGACATACAGCACCCACAGACATACACAGCACCCACAGACATACACAGCACCCACAGACATACAGCACCCATACACAGCACCCACAGACATACACAGCACACACACATTTACAGCACCCACACATACACAGCACCCACAGACATCAGCACCCACAGACATACAGCACCCACACACACAGCACCCACAGACATACAGCACCCACAGACACAGCACCCACAGACATACAGCACCCACCCACACACATTCAGCACCCACAGACACAGCACACATACAGCACCCACACACATACACAGCACACACATACACAGCACCCACACACATACAGCACCCACAGACATACACAGCACCAACACACATACAGCACCCACAGACATACACAGCACCCACACACATACAGCACCCACAGGCATACAGTACCCACACACATACACATTACCCACACACATACAGCACCCACACACATACAGCACCCACAGACACAGCACCCACAGACATACACAACACCCACACACATACAGCACCCATAGGCATACAGTACCCACACACATACACATTACCCACACACATACAGCACCCACACACATACAGCACCCACACACATACAGCACCAACACACATACAGCACCCACACACACATACAGCACCCTCACAAACACACAAACAGCACCCTCACACACACACACAGCACACTAACAGTACCCTCACAAACACAAACAGGACCCTAACACACACACAGCACACTACCAGTACCCTCACACACAAACAGCACCCTCACACACAGTATATTAACAGCACCCTCACAAGCGCACACAAACACACACAAACCGCACCCTCACACACAGTACATTAACAGCATCCTCACAAGCACGCACATACAAACACCCTCACCCACATAGCACACTACCAGCACCGTCACACACACATCACACTAACAGCACCCTCACACAGCACACACACACACACAGCAGTGTGTGTATGTGTGTATATATGTGTATGTGTATATATATATATATATATATACATACATACATACATATATATATGCGGCGTGTGCTTGTGCTTTAGGGTGCACACCCTAATGCAATAGGCTGCGCACGCCTATGCCAGCATTATTGTTTTTATAAGACCATTATGGGACATGTAGTTCATAAATCGTAAATGCAACATGTTGCCTACCCAGTGGTGTATTTTGGATTTGTGCTGCCCTAGGCACGACTAAATTTGGGCACCCCCAAAATCTAAATTTGCCCCCCCAATTTGTGACAAGGACATTTTTTTGACTGACAGACACATGCCCTCATTGATACAGAGCTACGGAATCTGATGGCGCTATATAAATAATAAAATAATAATAATAATACATGCACTGATATACACTCACTGACAGATACACAGTCATTGGCACACACTGTTTAACCAACACACACTTTCACTGACAGACACACACTCTCAGATACACATAAAATGACATACACACACTGACACAAACTCACAGGCACACCCATTCTCACTCACAGATACACACTGACAGCTACACTCACTCACTCACAGTAAGGTGGACAGCCCCAGAACACGAGGCAAACAAGGCATTTGTCTAGGAGCTTGGTGTGGCATTTTTTGGCGCCCCCCCTGAAAGTGGCGCCCTAGGCAAATGCCTTGTGGTAAATACATCCCTGTGCCTACCTCTGGTCTAGAAACTTTAGTTAGAGATCTTTCACACCCCCTCATATGTCATACTTTGATGACTTTGAATGGATTGTTTTCCCTCTCCTTTCCTTTAGTTTTTCCTTTTCCCCTCTACTATCCATCTACTAACACCCCCTTTTAGCATCACTCCCCAATATCTCATAGCCTTCTTTCAATCTTTGCTGCTTTCCTTATTTTCATGCCTCTTTCCCTCCTCTCACCTTACACACCCCTTTAGTATTAAATCAGTAATACCCAAAATTAAAGGACCACTATAGTGCCAGGAAAACATACTCGTTTTTCCTGGCACTATAGTGCCCTGAGGGTGCCCCCACCCTCAGGGACCCCCTCCCGCCGGGCTGGATGGAGAGGAAGGGGTTAAACTTACCT